AGTAAATAAATTAAACAAACTAAATTGAAAAAAAAAGTTTTTATCGCTGGATAACAGTTTACAATCATTGCATCTTAAAAATCAATAATTTGTGCGCACTATGCAAATGCATGAAAAATTGTTATAAAATTATGACAATCGATTAAATTCAATAACCATCTTTCATATATCCTAAAGCTTATTAACTAGAGTAAAAATTTATTTGAATATAAATTAGGTGCTCGTCAATAATTTAAGATACAAACGTCAACTTCCGTTAAAAAAATGATTTATCGCGCCATGTATATATATGTATATATAATAGGGTGGTTCAGAATTAAATAAAAAATTTTTTTGAACTAAAGTGAAAACTTATAAGGTGCGCAAACCTTCGTTTTATATATAAGATTTTAATTTTTTTAAATTTAAAAAAAGTTTAAGGGTGGCACGTGGCCCCAAAGTGCTTTTTTTTCTTTAACCTCTTTTGACGTTTTTTGACCCCAAAAAACGTCAAAAGTATGCTACCCTTATCACAGAGAGTGGAGCCTGAGAACTACCAAAACCACAAAACTTGTGCAAACAGCCCAAAATGTGAAGGTAATAAGTTACTAAGTTTTATACAATTGTTATTTCAAATTAAAATTATAGTCATTGATAGATTTGAAAATTCATATAATAATATTTTAGCGTTTGAAAATTATGACATAAGACATTGTAAAGTTTTTAACCCCCTCATTTTGGGGAGGATGGAAACTTTAAATAGTCATAATTGTCGAATGCTAAAGTACTAGATGAAATTTAAAATCATCAATGAATACCAATTTAGTTTGGAATAACAATAGTATAATTCTTGGTTACTTATTGCCCTCATATTTGGGGCTGGGGAGCTTAAGTTTTATGTTTTTTGTAGTTCCCAGGCTCCAATCACTCCAATTTATTCGAAGCATTCTAATTTGATATAAGTATAATATACCCAAGTTTGAAGTTTGTTCCATGTCTGCAAGTTATCTATCTCAATCACCAAAAAAAGTTGCCGCAATCCATGAAATAGGGAAAATCTTTTTTTTTTTGGTCTTTTATTGACTTTTTATTATAAGTTTTCCAGCGTTGAGAAAGAAAAAAAAACAGTTAGAGTGCCTAATTTTATTTTTATAATAATCATTGTGAGAGTTTATATAGAAAAAATTTTTAAATTCAATATTGTTTAAGGGTGGCACACTTGTGATCAAAAAATGTCAAAAAAGGGTTAAAAAAAAAAAAAAAAGTACTTTTGGGCCGTGTACCACCCTTAAACTTTTTTTAAAGTTGCACACCTTTTATGCTTCCACTCTGTCCAAAAATTTTATTACCTAATTCTGAACTACCATAACATATATGTATGGTTTTTGTATATATATATATATATATATATATATATATATATATATATATATATATATATATATATATATATATATATATATATATATATACACACACACATATGTATGTATATATATATATATATACACACACACATATGTATATATATATATACACATATGTATATATATATATATATAAATATATATATATATATATATATATATATATATATATATATATCAGGCCTTGTGATGAATAAAAACTGCGTGACGCATAAGCACGACATGATTTTTGACGTCATAAAATTCTTTTTATTTGCTTTTCATATTTATCTACATTAACTGCACCAATTTACTTAATTACCGCAAAACTACTTTAAATCATTAATGTAAAAATGTTATTATTTAAAAATGTTTTGGAATGTTTCGTTTTTTAAAATGTAAAAACATTTGCTTATTTTCTCGATGTTTGACACGTTTTGTCTATGCTAAACGAATAAATAACATATATTTATTAAATATAAATTAATATTTTTTTATTTATTTATTTTTATTTATTTTCATAAGGCGGTTGATAAGCACAATCACTCGTATTATTAAAAAACTTTAACGAACGTTTTGAATAGATTTTTAATGCTTACAAGGAATTTTATTTTTGGTAAAATAAAATAAAATGTTAGAATAAAAATCTTTTAGGTATAAAAGAAATATTTCAGCGAAAAAATTATTCTTAAAAATTATTATTAAAAATTATTCGAAAAACTATTGATGTTCTATTTTTCAGCAGCTGTTCTTGAGCACACTTTGCTGAGTTTCGGTAACTTTTAACAAAAATGGGATTGTTATTATTTAAGTAATTTTTTTTGAGTTACTTTTTACAAAAATTATAATAATTGTACTTTTTTATTGAATCAAGTAAAATACGTTTTAATAATAATCCTTTTATTTTTTTTATTTGCGCTTACCAATTTTTAAAATGTTTCCTCAAAATTACTCTTAAATACTTTAAATTCGTCTAACAGTTAATAAATATTTTTAAATCTATGGAATAATTTTAAAACCTAACAAACATAAAATAATTATTTAAGTTAAAAATCTAAAACTAAAAGAAAGTATTTTTGTTCAATTTTATCGACAACTTTGCTATCGCTGATTAATTTTATTAAAATGCTAGCTTAAAAAGATTTAAACTTTTTTTTAATCTGAATTTTTTCTACTTGTAACTAATGAGCATATTTATTTTTTTTGTAATTCAAATTTTTAGATCAACTGCGTGCGGTTTTTAAAATACTTTATTAAATGTTAAAATAATCATAAATTACTTCATTAAAATTCCACTCAAAAATATCTTTAAATATACTCAAACAATTTTTTTGCTCGACGCAAATAGCCCTAGCTACACGCAAAATCGCTCTTGGACGACATAAAATTTACATCGCCCGACGCTGATCTATGGAATAATATATATATATATATCAACATAAATCTGGTGGTGGAAGAAAGAAGGGTTTTAAAGATATTAAACAAGTTAGAAAAATGGTTAACAGTTTTAAGACTAACCCAAGCCTTTTACTAAGGGAGCGAGCAATGATTTATGGACTTTCTCATAGTTTTGTTGTAAAAGTTTGAAATAAACACGGTTCTCATTCTTTCAAAGCACAAAAAGTGCCAACCGATCTGAAACTCAACAAAAAAGTGCAAAACCCTGCTGCAGAAAATTGTATGACAATTTTATTTCTAAAAATTTCTGTATTATTGAAGACGATGAAACTAATATCAAGTATCAGCAAATACCTGGTGTCGTCTATTATATTGCTAAATGTAGAGGAAAAGCAGATAAGAAATTTAAATACATAAAACATGACAAGTTTGCTTAAAAAGTCTTGATTTGGCAAGCTATATGCAGTTGTGGCACAAAATCAGCACCTTATATTTCTCAGTCCACACTTTCGGGTAAAATATATGTTAAAGAGTGTTTACAAAAACGCCTTTTACCTCATTAAATCACACTTGTGTTCTGGCCAGATTTCAATCTGGTTAGAACACAAGTTTGGCTTCAATTCATTATTGTAAGCTAGCTTTGGAATGGTATAAAAATAATAATGTGAAATTTGTGCCTAAAATAGAAAATCCTCCAAACTGCCCAGAATTAAGAGTTATTGTAAAGTACTGGGCCATTATTAAAAGAAAAATGAAAAAAACAAAAAAACTTTGCAGAAATATTAAAGATATTAAAATATCATTTAAAAAGCATCAAACAAACTATTCATTTCTGTGCACAAGCATTTGTGTACCACCAAAGCAAAAGTTCAAAATTTTATTAGATTCCCACAGGAATAATTTGATTTTTTTTTTTTTTCAATATTTGATCTTATATTATTGTATTAAAGTTATTACTTGGTTGGAAATAAAAATTGAAGAGTACTTTTTTTTAGTTGTTTTTCTACTTTCACATTTATTTTGTGTACACGATTTATATAAAGATATAATATACTATAACAAACAAAAGGAAGAGAAGCTTAAAATTTCTATAAACATCAAAACGGCAGTAAAAAAAAATTTTATTTTTGAATGACAGAATTTTTTTTTTTTTCGATTCACGAGGAATAAAGGGGACAATATTTAGCATAAACAAAAGTTTTATAGAACAATATAAAGTAATGTAAAGTAATATAAAGTTAAGCAAAGTTTTGTGTCAAATGGATCCAAAAAATAGTAAAAGTTAGCGAATGGTTTGACTTAACCAGGATACGATTAAGCAAATGTATATATATGATAAAGTTCAACAAAAATTTAGAAAAAAAACATGCTGAATTTAACTTTCAAATAGAAGAAATAAATCATTGGTTCTCTTGCACTAAAATTTTTCAATTTTAATTTAAACGTTGCTTTATAATAAATATAACTTCTTTATTTAACAATATGCAAACTTCAATTGACTTCAGCAAAAAAAAATTTACCAAGAACATTTTTTATAAAATCAGTTTATAATTTTCTCTCTTGCGAGTTCTTTGGAGGAGTGTGATTTTTTACTCTCATAACAAAATTAGCGACATAACAAAATTAGCAAAATTTCAACACTATTTGTTGCGTCTGAAAGGTCATGCATGGAGCAATGGCTCCTGCTTCATCATAAGACCTGTTTATTAGTCTTGCTATCTTTATAGCATCCCACTTTTTTTGAAAAAGTAGAAAAAAACAAAGAATAATGAAAAAAAAAGATTGTTGCCCCATCCCAAACAAACAGTCGCAGCATTGTTGCATTATTGTTGCAGCATTCCTTTGTGGCTGTCTTATAACAGAAATAAAAAAACACTCTGAAACACAAGCCTTGACAAACAAGGCTATACATTTATTATGATATTTCTCTTAACATACATATATTGTTTAACATATATTGAAGTCACATATTCATGAATATGTAACTACAATAGATGACATGAATATATCCGTAACATACTATCTTATATAGTATTATGTGTGACTACTGACTACTTACTGACTACTGTGACCATTACCTTATATATAATTATGTTTTATAGTTTTCATTTGTGATCTGAAAAAAAAGTGTAAATAATTCTATTAATTTAACAAAAAAAAAGATGAATTGTTAATCTAAAAAAATTCCTATTTTATAATTTTTAAAAACTTATTTAGTTAAAAGTAGCACAACCTGTAATGTGCAATGTGAAACAAAATATGTTGCCGATTCTAACAGCGATTTTATTTCCAATGTACAAATACAACAATCAACTCCTATGCCAATCACTTTTGAAAGGATGTTGTTAGAAGCTAGACATCTTGGTTTTACAGAACTGGAAAATCATCAATATGGACATATTGAGGATCTGAGTCCACGTCAAAAACTCCTTTCCTATATGTATCAGTCTTATGACGCAAATCGTTCTCCATTAAAAACTACTTGGTACGAAATTTAGTTATTAAAAATATATAAAACAAAGGCTTAATTTATTTTTTTATTATTGTTATTTTGAATTTATTTTATTACATATATACTCTGGACTTTTATTTTTTCTTCTGAATTTTGCTTAACTATTAATGTGTTATTACTTTTTTTCAGTTTCTAGTTGTTTAAGAATCATTTTATATACTATATATTAGTTGTCTGTCTGTCATGTTTGGTGATTCTGTTTCACACTGACATGTTCTATATTTATTCTTTATATGGTTTATATACTAAATAAGTTTGAGTAAGTGGTAAAAATATTGATTTCAAATTCTTGACTATGGTTTTGAGTTAATGATTATTGTTTAATACCTAAAAACTTCTTATCCTAAACTGTTAGTAATATGCAGGGGAAGGTTGGATGTGGATTCATTTTACATTTTTGTTCTTTTTTACGCACTTGGAACTTCTTCGAACTTCTATTAAACTAATCTAAAATTAAATAAGAAAATAAAACAGCACAAAAATAAATAATTTTATTTAAAATAACTAAATTGTTAAGAATATAAGTTATAATTTTTTGAGTATAATTTTTTTTTAAATAAGTTATTGCGTGTATTTAACAGATGCAGGTTTATTAAGCAAAATGTAAACACTTGCGTGCGCATACTGGCAGGCAAAACAGTTTAAAATAATATTTTAACTATTGTCAACCTTTTCTTTTACATTATGAACACATCATTGAAAATGTTAAAATAATATCATTAAATAAAAAATTTATACTTTAAATGTGGTTCAATTATTAAATCAAGAAAATTTTGATGAAAGAGTTCAACAGAAAAACATATAAGGTTGCCTGACATTGCTTGGAGAGACCTGATAAGTTTTCTTATAGGTGTTTATCACTGATAAACACCTATGAGAAAACTTATTAAAACTTAACTTACAATGGAAGACTGATAAATTATCAGTCTTCTATTGAGTTTACAAAATACTAAGGCATACAAGTCTTTGAAAGCATATAAAACAGATTTTTTTGTGTAATCATGTGCAAGATTGTTGGTATGCTCCCAGCTTCAATGAATTATTGTTCTATTAAAACTTAGGTTAAATATTATATACATAAAGTTCGTTTCTAAACTGATTTTTATGGTCTTACTAATATTAAAACATTTGTACCATTAAGGTTTTTTTTTTCCACTATCAAGTAATTAAGTTACACTATATAGAGTAGGAAGAAAGTAACTAAATACTACATTTCATCCAACTTTTTTATAATTAAAAACAACAAAATGTTTGAGAACTATATAGTAAAACAAAGTTGATGAATATTTTATTATATAGAAATCTTAATTTTGAAAAAGTAAAGATTTCTATATAATAAAATAAGCGATTCTCATATTTTACTGGCAATAGATGTTATCTTTATTTAGAACCTTCCAAGCAAGCGAGTTGGTTTAAAAAGTTACATGTATGAAGTATGGGTTTGTCTTCACAAAGATCTGTGAATTAAAAGAGTCAGCTGCACTTGTCCACTAGGACTAGGTTCACTTTGTTTACATTTTGCAGCTCTACTTTTTAAACTTTAGGCTGTGCACCATAGTTAAAATAGAGAGAATGCATCTGCAAGTCAGCTTCGTTCATGGAATGCCTCAAAGCGCAGTGTTGATGCAACACCATTTAACATTATGAAATTTAGCACAAATAAAAAAGGAAAGTTACCCTAATTCATTAATCTTGTTTAAAAAAAAAAAAAGTGAGATCATCAACCATTATCAAAGTAAATGAAAAATAATTTGTATATTGATCCATCATATTGCATATCAGTCAGTGACTTTACCTCTTTATGTCAATCCAATGATGTTATATTATGTTGTATTAAAGCTGTTATATTTACTAGCTTAGATTGTAATAGCAATCATAAATCAAGTGATACTGAGTCAGGTTCAGAAGAGACATGTTGTTAACCAGAACCTTTAACTTGTTTGTTTGATCCTACTAGCAATAATCTAACTGAATCTTAACTTTTAAAACATTCCAAACAACTATATAAAGAATTTAGTCAAACATTTTTTGAAAAACAGTAGAATCAATTTGCTTAAGTAACTTATCAGCAAAATCAATCATCAACTTGGCAGGTTCATTGGGCAGGACTAATTACAGCTTCAATTTATTTTAATGTATTTCACACAAATAAAGATGTTTACAGTGAATCTTTTATACAAGAAGTCATCCAATATAAAAAAGATTTTAGTTGCAAATTTACACAATATGGTAAAAAATGGAGTGTTGCGCCAACAATATATTTTGTGAAGTCCAGTTAAAAAAGCATAACATTTTTTTGTTTATTGACTCAGATTTTCATGCTATGGCTGATATGCATTTTTTAGAAGTTTCTCCTAATGGAATATTAACCTGTTCTTGTCATGGAAAAGGTATTTTAGATATAAGTGTCTATTTAATTATTAAAGTGGTTTTATTAAATAGCAAAGTGATAAAAAAAATGTTCTAGATAGATGAACATTTTTTGATTAAAGTCATTAAACATGATGGTTTGAAATCAGATAATCTTTATTTTTTTTAAGTGCTTGTTTGCAAAGGTATATTCAGTGAGTTTTTATGTGGTGCCCAGAGCAGAGCAATTATTTGCATGCAGTAATGTTGCTTATGGCAAAAAATGGATTCATTACTCATTTGTAAATGTTACACAGAAATCAAAAGGTCAAGAACCTTTTGATTCCCGTGTTTTGTCCTCAATGTAGGGATTATTTACAGTATTTTTTATTGACATAACCTTTTTAGTGCTAAATTTTGATGTTATGGTGTTAAATATGTATTACATTTTTTATTAGGTATGGTAATATAACACAATAGAAAAATATAATTTTTAAATAAGAAAAAGATATTTATTACAATATCAAGTTGGGCTCTATGATGTTGACACAACCCTAAGGTTCCTTGGGCTTTTATATAAATAAAATAAAACTGCTACTATATATACATATATATATATATATATATATATATATATATATATATATATATATATATATATATATATATATATATATATATATATATATATATATATATATATATATATATATATGTATATATATATATATATATATATATGTATATATATATATATATATATATATATATATATATATATATATATAAATATATATACATTTATATATACATATATATATATATATATATATATATATATATATATATATATATATATATATATATATATATATATGTATGTATGTATATATAAATGTATATATTTATATATATATATATATATATATATATATATATATATATATATATATATATATATAAATGTATATATATATATATATATATATAAATGTATATATATATATATAAATGTATATATATATATATATATATATATATATATATATATATATATATATATATATATATATATATATGTATGTATGTATATATAAATGTATATATTTATATATATATATATATATATATATATATATATATATATATAAATGTATATATATATATATATATATATATATATATATATAAATGTATATATATATATATATATATATATAATCTGAAGCAAAACTTAATTAGATTTATAAATAAAATATCTAGGCACCATGATATGGTTCATTTGGTTTTTTTTATTCAATTTTAAATTGTATGTGATAAAAAGATTTCCTACAAAATTTACATTACTTTATAATACCTTTATTTAAATTAGCAAAGGCTATCACAACCATTATAAAAATCTATTAAATTAGTAAGGGCTGATATCACAACCATTATATCATTTAAAAAATTTATTTGTTTAATTGGCACAAAGGTTTGTAAAATTCCCAATTATTTGGCTCTGCCAATAATGTGTTCAGCATGTATACTTTCATTTGACAGTTGTCTTGAAGTTCCTACTTCTTGCGGTCTAAATTGTTGTTTTCCTTTTAAAAATGTTGGAATGTTCTTTTTCTGCAAGCTCATCTTTAATGAAAAATCCCCTACTGCTAAAATGTAATCTCCAAAATTTATATTTGAGAAAGCCCAATTGGTTTCCTAGCTTTTGGGGAGGTCATGATTCAGACATGTCCTCCCCAACCACCAGCCAAGAAAGTAATTATACCTGTTGGACTGATCCCTAAAAAATATTTAACCGTATTATTGTCTATGTAATTTGATCATGATTCAGCACAAGTTATTAAATTTGATGGTCCCTCGAAAAAATTATCAAAGCAGTTCATTACAAATAAAAATCATTACATAAAAATCATTTAAAAAAAGTTCATTACATAAAATAAAAATCTCATAGGAATCAATATGACAGTCACTAAACTTTTTCTTAAAACACTGGCAGGTTAGACATTTATTAAGCCATTTTATTAATTTCTGGATTTTATACTTTTACAATTTTATAATTTTATTAAGTTCTGGATATTATACTTTTACAGACACTAAAACGAAATGCAACATTTTTATTTAGCAGCCCGAGTAGCCGATTGTATATATATATATATATATATATATATATATATATATATATATATATATATATATATATATATATATATATATATATATATATATATATATATATATATACAGTCATGGCCATAAATATAAGAACGCTGCATTTTTTTATAGTATGGCTTTTAGAACCTGAATATAACAAACAGTTAACACCAATAACAATTGGTTTGTGCTTTAATTATAAAGTATGATTAAATTATTAGTAAAAAAGCATCTTAAAGTCGTGATTGTCTCAAAAGTCAATATTTGGTGGGCTGCCCTTTGTTGGCTATCACAGCCCTTATCCTCTCAGGCATCGAATCAACTAATTTTTGGCAATATTCCAGCGTTATTTCTTGAGTCCAAACAGTCATGATTGCTTTCTTAAGGGTGTTTTTCGGAACTAGGATTCTTCGTAGCAACTTTCTGCTTCATCATCATCCATTAATTTTTTATTGGATTAAGGTCCGGGTTGG